TTTTCAAATAATTTTTGGACTTCGTTTAAACATTATCACCAACAATGACAACTTGTAGATTTTGGAGTAGTACAGAACATGATCAACATGTCGCTTAATCGCTTAATCGACTTCTTTTGAGGATTTAAGTGAAATAATTTTCTGAATCAAAATAAACAAGAAAAACGGCAGAAAGCTTGCACTTGACGAGTAAATTTTCCCAGATCTTTAAAGAACATACAACTCAAATGCACTTCTCCGACTTGACTACTGTGAGAAATCATCATTAAAAACAAATAAGACCGAAGCTAAATGGGTATGCGTATGAGTATGGGTGTGGATGTGGATGTTCTCTTCACCAACAGCAACACCCACACCTCACCCTTAAGCATAATTATAAGGGTTTAAGTATAGGAATAAAGATGTAGGTATAGAAATAAGAGTACATGGGTCCGTAGATAAATTAAATGTTATTGATGTGAATGTCGGCACAAAATTTCATTTTCGATTTGGCACAGGGTTTCCTATGAAGAACATAGGTGTGGGTGTGTAGGTCTTGGATGTCAGCAGCGATGCTGATCATCTCTTTACACCCACACCCGTGCAGAGCACACTTCTCGCACAAACTGCGAGTACATTATCTTCTGCATTTCTATCGAGCTTTCTTCTTTGTCTATTCATTATGATGGTTCATCTAGCTCATCGGGTAGAATTCATCGATTATCTGAAAACTCTATAACCAATGGAATAGTGGATTGTTTTGGATTGAAAGGACTGGGGGTAACTGATCCGATTCGATCAAAAAAAGTAAACGCTTAAGGAACAAAAATATGATTGTCCTATCATATTACAGAACATGTAGAATGTTTGAGCCAATTATTTATAAAAACGAGCTGTTCGGATCAAATTTGTTTGCTTACTTTGATTTCAAATGAATTTCAACATTGTTTGTGCAACAAGAGCGTGCTCTGAGAAGAGCCACAAAAGAAAATAGGAAGGCATCTACGTTTCTCTCTCGCTTTATTTCGTTTTGATTTATTCTTATCGTACTACCACTACGAGGGTGGGTGTGGGTGTGAGTTAGTGAAAAAATACTCCACCCATATCCTCTCGTCTGTTTGATAAATTAATTCAACCATTTTACTGAATGGTTTTCATGGTGAACGACGTACAATTGAATTGACATTGCTCTACAATGGATAAAATAATTATGATCATAAAATAACAAATTCTTCGTTGAATGTCTATTTTAGCTGTGCATTCACTTGCATTAAAGCCAAATCCAACAAATAATTTGCTTCATACTTATCAACATCATCTTCTCCTTTGCCAGTACTACTTCTCAATAACAATGACTTTCTTCGTATTCGTCAACAGTTACTTACTGAATAGACAAGTAACGAGAAGAAAATTACCAAGAATACTATAAAAGCTGATAATACCAAACAAGTCACAAAAACGAAGAAAAAAGATTTCGAGAATCGTCTGTTCATTTCGATAATGGGCATGAAATTGATTGTTGGTGGTCAAAATAGCCCATCTCTTCGAACTCTACTTGTAAATGCGTCTCTTCCTCATGGATCAATGTTTGCAGATTAAAACATATGAATATAAAATGGAAAATTATTACTCATTCCTCTTTAGAGATCTTTTTCTTTTCTAAGGAGTTATATGTCTTTTCTTTCCTTATAGAAAATCACTATCTATTGACTGATACAGAGCAGCCTGTTGATTCTTGTATTAATTTCTCTGTTAGAGAATTGATACTTGAAGAAACATAAAGTTCTAACCAATTTTACTGGGTATTTGAATACAAGTCATCTGATGAGATCTCTTGAGTAGGGATTGAAAGTGGTCATGGCAGCTCTTACTCATCCACACTCTCAAGATAGATTTTAATTACATTTATAATTTAGAATGAGATTTTTTTATGACATTTTCGAATAAATGCACACAATCTAAGATATTGTGACAGCTTCTATATTGCTAAATGAAAAATATATTAGTATCTTGGGCCATCTTGAATTATTTAGTTAAAATAGAGAAACCAATAAAAAACAAATCTTTGTTTCTTATCAATGTGTTATGCAGAATAAGTTATTTATCTTTGGTTTGTCTCTGACCTTCAATCTTCTTTTTTTGCAGTGAAGAAAAAAAGAAAGACAACTGATCTGACGAAATTACAATAATAATTTCGACATTCTTATTTCTATACAACAATGTAAATAGAGGAAACATATATGCAAAAAATAAAATAAAATCTAATATGACTTCGTATATCAATGCATCTTCACCAACAGGAAATGATCATCGAATCAAATTACTTGCTTCCGATTTAATATTTAGTGGTATCGATAATGTTTTTGTTTATCCATCTCTTGATATCGATCGATTACAAAACGCTCTGAGATACACACTTTCTTTCTGGCCAATTCTAACTGGTCGTATTCTTGTCAACGATAATGATCAATATTTTATTGAATTCTCTGATAATTCTATTCCATTTACTTATGTTGAAAGTGATCAACTTGAACAATGGTCAAATCTACCTGTTGTTGTTAACGATATGACAATACTCCAATCATTTATTGATTCAGTTCAATATAAACCTGACATAGAATCACTTCTTCGATAAAAAGTGACTCGTGTACTTCGTAGTGATGAATATATACTTGGTACAAGTTTTTTTTTTTATATGATTGGTGATGCTGATTCAAATATTCATTTTTTAAATGATCTTTCTCAAATTTATCAACATCTTGAACCTCTTCTACCTCGGCCAATTTTTGAACGACATTTATTGAACAAAGAAGATCCAGAATTTTCTTTATTACTTGTTATCAAATTATTGCAAAAATACGGATAAAAGAAAAGTAGTATTAGCTCGTGTTGCTAAAGAACAAACAGAAACTGATCCTATTGACATGTCCTTTTCTTCTGAACAACTTGCTCAATTACATATTCGTGCTGGTGGAAATTGATGATGTAACAATTCATGATGCACTCTGTGCTTATATTATTCTTGCGATGAATAAATATTTTTTCCTCAGCGAAGACGAATATATTCGACGTATCTATATTACAGTTAATTATCGAGCTGTAACTGATTTGTTGGCAATAAAAGGTTATGTAGCTAATGCAATTATACAACCATTATCTTCTAATTTTCCAAATCCTCTTTCTTTATCTAGTATTGCCAAGATAATTCGACAAATAATTAAAACAACACGTAAAGAAGATTTTCTAGGAAAATGGTTAAGTTCAGCTAATGTTTTAATGACACGATTTAAAAAGAATGGATGTGTAAATTTTGTTTGGGATACAAATGAAGCTGTATTTAATTCTAATTTTAAATATGATTGGACAAATCAATGTCGCTTTCATACAATGTGATTGTTCCAGTTTTATTTTCGAATTTTTCGATTGAATCCCGTGAAAGAAAAAGATGAAAATTGGATAAAAGATAATGAAGGTGTAGAAGTAGCTTTTCGAATTCCAAAAGGAGAAAGAAAGAAGAAATTTTTAGAAGCATGGAAAAAAGATATTGAAGAAAATTTTGTGAATGTGAAATAAATATATATACGATAAATTGAAATATTTGTTTATAATATCAAACTTTTCTTTTTTTTACAAACTATTGAAATCGAAATCATTAGTTCTTTTTAGAGACATAAACTGTTCTAATCTCGAAAATACATGAGTGTTGATAAAGCAAAAAAATTGATTTAAAAGAACAATGAAAATTGTTACTATTTATCAATGTCAAATACAGATATTTTTATCGAACAACGGGAAACTATACATCATAGAACTTGTAATCGACTATTAATCATCCTTTAGAATTTAAGTACCTCAGTGGTAAATACCATACTGTCCGTTCTTCTTTATAAATTGATTATATTTATGAGTATGTACACTCGCCACACACAATTTAATTTTGTTTTTTTCAATATAAACATTAAAAAAATGACTAAACATCACCTTCAATTATGATAGAATCAACAGCTCTAATCAATGTATAAGGTCGGTCACGCCTATGGTGCAATGACTCCTAGATTCCATGAATTCTGCCAGCTTCGTGCGCTCCATAAATTTCTTGGAGTTTTCAGACATGCATCATACTATGTGATTTCATAATATGTCTATTTAGTTTAGTGCTTCGCAGGAAGGTCGAACTTTTTAGAGTTTCTGGAGTGCTGAACTCACAAAATCTCCTAGTATGTTTAAATTTTCCCTTGTGTCAATCTTATGCTTGATCGACATTTAAAAAATACAGAACCATTCATTGTTCTATAGAACAATTGCACGATAGCAGTAAGCTACAGAGCATCATCATCATCTTGACAATCACACTATATTTATGACAGGTATGTAACCGATCTAGTCAAATTCGAATATAATTCAAGACATAATGTGATAATGATTATGTAATTTTCTTTTTGTTATTGTTTAACAATATCCCTATTTAACTTCATGCTCATTTTTTTTTCTCTCAGAAAAATTCAGAAACACTATGTCTTCACTTATCATTATACAAAAAACGCTTCTGTAGATCTTGTACTGATTTTGTAGCTATATGAACCTTGAATTAATTGCGTGAATGCATTCAGTGAAAATTATATCATCTGAAGAGATTCTTAAACAGAATCAAAACTAGTCGTGGTACCTTATTATTCTTCATTGATTCATGCATTTGTATCCGCAATTCACTCCCTAAATTATGTATTGTGTGTTCTGTTATCATTCGAGCGTGTTACAATAAATATGCAAAATTAAAAAGAAAAAAGAAAGGAAACCGCAGCTCTAGCAAAGTGAAGTTGCGAGAAATCAGAAGAAACGCATCGCCCTTATGCAAGAGTAAATTCAATAAAAATAAAATTTCTCAAGTCTTTTCTTTAGTGCTTCATGATAATGAGAAATGACGTGAATACCACTTTCATTTTAGCACGTTTCGAGCCATAGAATGCTAGCAGCAATTACTCAAAAATATGTTTCTCTTTTCTTGTTCTGTTTATAATTTAATTGATGTGTTTACCGGCTCATTTTTTTATAATGCGTTGCAACACCTATGAATAAATGAAAATAGAAAAGAAACATCCTGACACTCGTCTCATTCAGCTACATGTTCTTGAGAGTAACGTTTCTTCTTTTTGTTTGCAATGTATTGTTATCAATGACAATGCCTGTCATTGTGTACAATAATGCTCGATTTGATCCCTTCGATACACGCAACGTACTTGCTACTCTCATCTCGATCAGTACTGAGACCGCCTGCCTCTGTGAATGCTACCACAACTCGATGTGCTTGACTGTAACCTATTTTCTCATCAATCAAACGTGTTCATTGTACTCTGCACAATTAAACGAAGGTCAACTGCGGATAGTACCGCTTAATGTTAATGCAAAGGTATTCACCTTCAGAAATCTGAGCGTTGCTGGTGAGTAAAAACCATATTTGCGCGAAGTATCTAATACAAAATGCATCTTGACTCTTTCATCGCACTCTGTAGGATTAGGAAGATCAGACAAATCTTATAAAGAGAACTTAACTATGTCTTCTGTTCACATTTTATCGTGCACACTTAGAATCTTCTATCAGTTACTATCTATTATTCATAATACGTAAGTTAATAGCACGGCAACAGAGATTCTCTGACATACCAAAACAAAATTACGAAAGTGTGGATTTGAACATATTCATGATCATGCCTTTATCATAAGTTGCCTAATTCGAGTTCGAATATAAATGGAGAGGTAACTTTTTATTATTACTTTAAAAATAAATGAAAAAAAAGCCGGCTTCTCTGTTGAAATAGCAAAAAGCAAAAGATCAATTTCGTATAAATTATAATTTATTAATTTATTAATTCAAAAATACAGCCATGTTAAAATAGCAAAATATCAACAGAAAAAGCTTCTACAGATTAATATTTATAGAAACTTTTTCTGTTGGTATTTTGCTATTTTAATACGTGTGTGCCTTTCCATGCACAAATTACAATTTATATAAACTTTTTCTTTTAATTTTCTTCTATTTGAACATGGGAGTGCCTTTCCACACATAAATTACAATTTATATAAACTTTTTCTTTTGGTTTTTTGCTATTTTAACGTGGATGTGCCTTTCCATTTATAAATTATAGTTCAAATAAACTTTTCTTTTGCTTTTTTTCTATTTGAACGTGGGCGTGCCTTTCCATTTATAAATTAAATTATAAGTGGTAAGGTATGCCCATGTTCAAATAGAAAAACAGCAAAAGAAAAGTTTATTTGAACTATAATTTATAAATGGAAAGGCACACCTATGTTAAAATAG